TATATATATATATATATATATATATATATATATGATATATATAATATAATATAATATATATATGTAATATAATGTAATATAATGTAATATAATGTAATATAATATAATATAATGTAATATAATGTAATATAATGTAATATAATATAATATAATATAATATAATATAATATAATATAATATAATATAATATATAATCTCTACACATTATATGTGAAAGTTGGTCACTTTGGCCACCTAAAAGTTCTGAACCACTTAACTTTCGAATGTCACAAAATTAATGGCTGTTCAGAATCATTTAAAGAGTGCATAGTTTCATTGAGGAACCTTAAGTAATTGTAGTCTATTTTTCAATTTTTTCATTAGTTTCGTTTTGATGTAATCTTGGGAAAGTCCGTCTTCCAAGACGTCATTGTAAACAAGTGGGGTTTCCGTTCACTAGCCTTGCGCACTAATTTGAAATTCTGGAGTGTACAACCATAAAAGAGGAATAGAGAAACAATCTATACATCTCTATATCCAGAGCTTCTAACCTTTTGCATCTGTAAAGATTTATTGCTCCATTCCAGAAGATTGTAGTAGGCCAATGACTTTTAGTTGAAGTTCATGCACTGATCATTTCTTTCTTCGAAAGAGGGTCCAGCTAGTAGAATAGAATAGAATAGAATAGAATAGAATAGAATAGAATAGAATAGAATAGAATAGAATAGAATAGAATAGAATATACTATACTATACTATACTATACTATACTATACTATACTATACTATACTATACTATACTATACTATACTATACTATACTATACTATACTATACTATACTATACTATACTATACTATACTATACTATACTATACTATACTGTACTGTACTGTACTATACTATACTATACTATACTATACTATACTATACTATACTATACTATACTATACTATACTATACTATACTATACTATACTATACTATACTATACTATACTATACTATACTATACTATACTATACTATAATATAATGTAATATAATATAATATAATATAATATAATATAATATAATATAATATAATATAATATAATATAATATAATATAATATAATATAATATAATATAATATAATATAATATAATATATAATGTAATGTAATATAATGTAATAAAACTCCAAAACAAAACTACAAAACATACGGCGAGCGTTCCTTTTTGTTCTTTGCTCTCCAGGTATGGAACGAACTCCCATATAAAATAAGATCTGCCCCAACAATTTCCATTTTCAAAAATCAGCTGAAGCGTTTTTTTATTCACAAAAGCATACCTGCCATAATGATGTACTGTGATATATATGCATGTGTATGCCAGACTGTGAGACTGAAGAAATAGCGAGTGAGAATGAGAGAGAGAAAAAGAGAGAGATAGAGAGAGAAAAGAGAGAGAGATAGCGAGAGAGGGATAGAGAAAGAGAGAGAGATAGAGGGAGAAGGGGACTGTGATAGGAAAAAGAATTTTTTTAGAGGAAGGGAGTGGGTGATGAGAAACGGGAAGTTCATAAGGGAAACGACAAAATTCCTGTGTGTCCAGTCTCCCCGCCGCTAGATGTCTCTGATGGAAGAATTGTGAATGTACCTGTGGCGATGTGTCCATCGATGCCGCGGACGGTGTTGTCATATTTTTTGCGATTAATTAATTAATTAAACAGATATTAATCAAGATACTATTATTTATTTATTTATTTATTTATTCATTTATTCATTTAAAAAATGATTTATTGGATTGTTAATTAATTGATTAATTCGATATTAAAATATTCATTCATTTTTTAATTTTTAAATCTATTTATTAAATGGTTAATGAATTAATTAATTCTCGCCAGTATCTCTGTATCCAGGTCTCATTGTCTGCGTGTTCGTTTGCATCTTTTGCCCATCTCTTGTCTCGTCTCATCTCTCTCTGTCTCTCTCTGTCTCTGTCTCTGTCCCTCTCTCTCTCTCTCTCTCTCTCTCTCTCTCTCTCTCTCTCTCTCTCTCTCCCCCCCCCCCCCCCCTCTCTCTCTCTCTCTCTCTCTCTCTCTCTCTCTCTCTTTGCTCACGTCGTTACTCTACTCTTTTTCCCTCTTTCTCTACCAACCCCTCTCTTCCAACTCTCTCCCCTTCTATCTCCATTTTTCTCTCGAGCACCATCTCTCTCATACCCATTCTCGTAATCAGTCCCACTCTATCATTCTTCCCCATTTCTTCCCCCTCCCCTTCTCTCTCTCTCTCTCTCTCTCTCTCTCTCTCTCTCTCTCTCTTTCTCTCTCTCTCTCTCTCTTCCTCTCTCTCTCTTTCTTTTTCTCTCTCTTTTCGCGCTCTCTCTCTTATTCTCCCCCCCTTCTCTCTCTCTCTCTCTCTCTTTCTCTCTCTCTGTGTGTCTCTCTGTCTCTCTCTCTTTCTCTCTCCCCCTCTCTCCCCCCCCCTCTCTCTCTCTCTCTCTCTCTCTTTCACCCTTTCACTCTCTTTTTCCCTCCCCCCTCTCTCTCTATCTTAATTTAATCTTCGACAATACTGCCAGCGGGGTTTCACCCGACGTTGCAACTCTCCTGTGCGGAAAAAACCAATGGCTATTTATAGAACTCTGACGATATGATATAAATAGTGCTATTTAATAACCACTTTAGTCAGCGACTAAAATTGAAGAAACGTTTCGTATATATATATAAGATATTTTGCTGGCTCGTTGATCACTGTTGCTTCTGACCTCCCTGAAAGAAACACGTTTCGTCTCGCACAATTTTTGTTTCGACTTTGATGGCATCAGGTTTAGTGCTACGTAAGTGGAAGGGATTTCATAGTAATAACAAAACGAACGATATTGTTTTAGACAAGCATAATTTGACAGGTATCGGCACTGGTAATAATATAACTGGAGAATAAATTTTAATGTAATATCCCACAGTTTTGTTTTTGTTTGTTTTCTTTAATTTGTTTGTTTGTTTTGCGGGAGGGGGGCGGAGGCATGATTAATTTTCAAATTGGATTACTGCAATGCACACAATTTAAATCAAATTAGGCTTTTAACTCTGCCTGTTAGGGCCAACTCGTGCTGAAAGCTCTAATATTTATATACATATATATATATATATATATATATATATATATATATATATATATATATATATATATATATATATAGATAAAATTTTAAGATATATGTATACATAATTATATATATATATAATATATATATGTATAATATATATATGATATGTATGTATTTATGTATATATATATATATATAGTATAATATGTATGCATATATAACAAATCTGTGAGAGAAAGTGAGATAGACAGATAGATAGATAGATAGATAGATTGATAGATAGATAGATAGATAGATAGATAGATGGATAGATAGATAGATAGATTGATAGATAGATTGATAGATATCTATTGATATAATATATTGTCTAAACATACAAGTAAGTATTATGTCAGCAGCCATTGTGCCCAACGTATCATATTATACAACTTCCCA